ATGGGGAGTTCTAGGAAAGCTTTTGCCCCTCTGGGGTGCATGGGCAGGCATCATGCAGTAGGCCAGGGGCAGGGTAGTCAGCAGGGCAAGAGCTGGATGCAGAGCAGAGAGGGCAAACAAAAGCTAGATTGCTCTGGACCCCTCTGTGTCTATTTGCCTCCATATTTGACCTCAGAAAGACCACCCCCTTCATGCCTTCCTCTCCAGCCTCATGCAAGTTCCTATTTGGCAATTTGAACCAAAACTGTCAGGGATGAGGATTCTAGGAAATGTGGTTTTTAAACAAGTGCTCTCTCATCCAGGGTTACATGTTTTCTGTTAGATTACCTTTAACCCTGAGGTCTCCACCAAGTGATAGGAAACAGTCCTGCATACTATGTGCCTTGCTTTGAATTTTTGTCTCTTCTGAAGCTTATCTTGGTACCTAATCCCCATGTAAGAGTATTAAGAGGGTGGAAAGCTTGACTATGTTATTTGAAAGGTGGGACCATTAAGAGGTGATTGGATCATGAGGGCTGTGCCCTCATGAGTGGATTCATCCATTAATGGGTTAATGGATTAATGGGTTATCATGGGAGAAGACTGGTGGCTTTGTAAGGAGAGTCCATGGACGTGACCCTGCTCCCTTCGCCATGTGATGCTCTGTGCCGACTTGGGATTCTCCAGAGTCCCCACCAGGAAGAAGGCTCTCATCAGATGTGCATCCTCGACCTTGGACTTCCCAGCCCCCAAAAGTGTAGAAAATACATTTTGTTTCTTTATAAGTTACCCAGTTTCAGGTATTCGAAGTGACAGAAAACAGACTAAGAGACGATGTCTCTCTTGGGTGTAGTGCCTCGATTTCACAGAGCACATCCTATGAGAGCTTCCTAAGAAAGGTTGCGTGGATATAAATTAGTAGGGACTCAAATGTAATTGACTTTATTCTGCCCACGAATCTGATTAATTTTGCTGAGGACTACCTTCCAGATTGAAAAGAATTTTCCCTCAGAATTTTGAGGACTTCGTTTCACTTTCTTTTAGAAGTCTTCCACCATTCTGATTCGTTTGTCTGTGGGACGTGACCTGCTTCTTCCTCTCAGGAAGCTTTTAGGATCTTTTCTTTATCCCTGATGTTCAGAGATTATAGCATGATACACCTAGAAATGGGTTTTGGTTTCTTTTTCTACTGTTTTGGGTACTTGATTAGCCTTTCAGTTTAAAAATTCTTATCATTCAACTCTGAGGAACTTCGTTCTATTAGGTTTTCATCACTTCTACCCCCCGAATTTGTTAGCTTTTGTCTTTTAGCAATCCTAATCGTCAGATCATAGATTAATCCTCTAATTTTCTGTTTCTTACACTATTCCCATCTCTTTGTCTTTTTGTCCTACTTTCTAGAAGATTTTTTCTATTTATTTATTTATTTAAGGAAATTGTAATTTTGTTAATATTATTTTTTACATTCTAGGATGTTGTTGTGGAGCAGTTGGGAGGGCTGGGGAGAGGGGAAAGGGGAAGGAAATGGGATGGAGGAAGGAGGAAGGAGGAGGGATTGAGGCTTGTGGCTCCCCCTCATTCCCATAGGGGAAACCAGGGGGCTTCCAGCGATGCCTTGTTCATTGCCATGCTGGGTGCAGATGTCAGAGGGTTGTGGCAAAAGCCCTCTCTCCCCACTGTCTCAGCTCGGGACACCCAGGGTGCGTCCTGTAGCAGCTTGGTGGTTGCCATTTTGCTGGCTGAGTGTGTCGGGGGGTCATGGCCAAGGCCCGAGGCTCCCAACCTTTGGCATTGGTTGCGGGCGTCAGGGGACATTGCTGAGGCCTCCAGTCTTCCTCCCTTTCTGGTTTGGTAGCCCAGGGGACTTCCGGTCCTTCTAGGTGTTATAGGTGTTCTTTGGTGAAATGAGAACTTTACTAGTTAATATGAAACTTTGTCTCTGGTTGCGGATACCTTGTTTTTTCTTTCATTTCTGTGTTGGATTATTTGCTGTTCCCACAATTTAAACTCTGCACTGGAAGTAATTCGTTTTCCTTTGCTTACTTCTAAAATGGGGGAACTTCCTGTGGGGACCAGTACTTGAGCTATGTGGTTGAGCTAGATCGCTGCTTTGCTGCTGATTCCCTGGGGAAGGCTTTTTGTGCAGCTCAGGGTTTGATTGTTGGCTTTATAGGTACTTCTGGCTCTCATGTGATCTGGTGCACCCGAGTTGTGTGGAAACTCTGGTCTGGGCCTGAGTCTTTTCATCACACTGCACCCCATGAAATTCTATATTCCTGACCAGTCTCCTGAGTGGTCCTCCAATGATTGGGGGGCAGATGTGCCCCAGTGTTCTCCCGGGGGGGCCGTTTCCCCTACCACCCATGGTGCAAACACTTCCCATGGGACAAGCCAAGTGCCAGTCCTTTGCGATGACTTACCAGCCTGTGAGTGGCTCCTTTTGTTCAGTTGTTGTGGCTTCTCACTCTAGTGTGGGTCCATGGGAAAACTGTTAGTTGTCTTGCTGGCCTGAGGACCAAAAAGGCCCTCTTCTCCCCTGCCACCTCCAAGAAACTTCATCTGAAGGGCACAGCGTGGCTTTTGCCAGCTCCTGCTCCATGCACTCAGCAGCTCCAGCCTGGATGTGGCTGGGGCTCAAAATTGTCAGAGTGGTTTTTTCTTTCTCTCATTGTGGCTTTTTCTGCCTTCATGAACTCCACGGGTCTCTCCTCCTCTTCTCCTGAGCTCTAGTGGCCCCAGCTTGGCTGTCATTGCTTTTTTATAGCTGTAAATTGGTTGATTTGTGGGAGAGAGTGATGCTGGGGACCGTCTATTCTGCCATCTTGACTGGAAGCCTTGATTTTTTCTATTTTTTAAAGAGTCTTTCCCATGCTCTGAATAATCTTTTCTTTTGTAGCATACTATTCTTATTTTATGATTTCTTATCATCTTTTATTGTTTTAAGAATATCAGTTATGGTTGTTGCTGGGGTTTTTTTCCACCTTTTTATGTTCTGTTCCTAATATTATTTATTTATTTATTTATTTATTTATTATTATTATTTTTTGTCCTTTTTTTGAGACCAGCCGCACTGCGCTCAGCCAGTGAGCGCTGTGAGTGCACTGGTCATCCCTATATAGGATCCGAACCCACGGCGGGAGCGCTGCTGCACTCCTAGTGCCGCACTCTCCCAAGTGCGCCACGGGCTCGGCCCCTAATATTATTTATTTTAAGGCCTTTTCATCTTTTTTTTTTTGTCTCAATCTTTCATGTTAGAAGTTATACAAATGTTAATGATCCTTGGTTGTTTGTCTATAAATAAGATTGGGGCACTAA